CCCGTCTATTCCGCGGGTATCTTGTTCCGTTATCAAGTTCCCATATAAAATAATATTAACCGATCCCGCGCGCGGCTACCGAAACGTCTTGTTATCTATCCAATTACGCACCTCGTTCCTCTGTCAGCGAATTCGCAACTCTCTCGGAACTCGTCGCTCATGCTACCGAGTTTCCCGTTTTGTTCCTTCCCCCGCCGCCGTGTTATCACAGTCCGCAACGTGTACGGATTTGCGCGAGGAAAGGCAAGAGCCCCGCCCGTGCAATTTTTCGAACGTACTCGCGCGTTTCCTCGCAGCGTGACTGGATAGTGACTGAAACCTTTCAGGCGAGAACGACTCTTCCGCCATTCGTGTCCGCAAGTAAACGGCTCCACCACTTCGAAGTGACTTTACTGTGACACATGATTCCATGCCATTACGGGAACCAGGGGAATTCTTTATTATTCTAACGCATGAATAGACTAATCTTTTTTATTGTCTTCTTTTGAAAAGAATATTTATCGTGCGCATTGCAGTCGGTATTAGTTTTTCTATTGGGTTTTGCGAGGAAATATAATTGCGACAGGGTTATTATTCTATGCGAGATCGTTTGTTGGAGAGATTTTTATTTTTTTAGATTTTTTTATTGAAGGAAATACGAAGGTAAATGCCAAAGTTTCTAGATCGTTGAATGTAATTATTATGGACCTTTTAATAGCGATTAAAGGTTATAGTGATATTTCGAAGACATTAATGTGAAACGATTGGAATGTGTACTAACTGTATGAAGATGGTGTAACTTTAAAATGTCAATATCGCTCGTATCTCATAAATACTTAGAAAATGCAATCTCTTATAGAAATTTGATTAATCTTCCATTCTACTTGTGACTAAATAAAATTTTCAACGAAAGGTGCAAGGTACCAATTAATTCGCAGGAAGGAATAATTCAAATATTATTATTTGAATCTATTTTATTCCCGTCAGTCTGGTACGATGGATTTGCAGCAAGGAAAGTATATTTTTGACGCACCGAGAGCTGTTCGGTTTTCCATTTTTCCGGAAATGGAATACATAGCTAATGTTCTTATCATCGGCCGGCCCCGATGCAATCGACACAGTCATCGATACCGTTGGCGTTGACAGTAATTGCTTAATACCTGTTTCAGATACTCCGTCGTTCGTGATAACGCGTTTACCTGGTTTTGGAATTCCGATCGTCGAGGGGATGTCCGTCAGCCTGAAATGCGAGATAGACAGCAATCCGGCCAGCACGCCGATCTGGCAGCGTGGTAAGTGACAACAATGACGCCTGATTCGATGTTTCGTTCCCATCTGAATCGTGAAAAATATTTCGCGGCGCGGCGCGGCGTGGCGCGTCGCTCCGCACGGAACGCGAGAGGGAAAAAAAGAGCCCGTGGTCCCATTTGAAACACAGAAAATCGTAAAATATTTCATACGCAACCGATATTTCACTCGATACCGCTCGTACCAAATACGTTCTTAAAATGCCATCGGAAATTCTGCGTTCAGATACATTTGACGATTTTCCACGCTGCGGAAGACACTCTAAAATTTTTGACAATATTTAATCTATAGTTTTGTTTGTCATTTATGAAGGAAATTTGATGGCGATCGTCGCTGCGCTTGGCAACGCGTATCGTTGTGTATTACACAGAGAAACAAATATTATAACATTTCATATCATAAATACCGTACATTTTTTTGGTAATAATGAAACGAGAACGATCATTTTTCAATATTATGTTTAATATTCAGTATATTAGAAACGTAGATGTCACGTGACGTATTCCAAAGGAAATAGATATATTACTAATTTTATTCGCTTCTAAATACCTTATAAATATTAAAAGGCAAACATAAAATTTATTTAACCCTACGAATTAAAGTTCATTTCTATTAAGATAAAAAAAAATCACCGTCACTCAATTTCCACTTTCCTCTAAGATCTAATAACGTTTATCGTCTTCCAAATAACACCGAACACCCGATGAAAACTACATTCCAATTTCCAACGCAAAAATAAAAAAATAAGAAACTCGAGGGCGTTTACACTCGAGCCAGACCTTCCTTCTTAATTTTCTTCCTCCCTTTGATTCCGGCTATCTTAATATTAATTTCCGGTCTATTACTCCCCCCATAACTTCCAGTCGTCAGCAAACAAAACGATAAATCCGCGTAATCATATTACTTCGCGCCGGTAATAGATAGAGGAGCGCCAACGCCACTGGCCCGCTCGGAACAATAAATAATCGACTCTGCCCCACGTCGAAGATAAGAACGCGCGGCAGATATTATCTTACGCTGTCGAACAGACGGAGAGTACCCTTCTCGCTAATCCGGGGTTCCAAATGCTTCGTCAAGATTAAAATTCTGCGCCCTTCTTCCCTCCGCCAACATTTTTTCCCCCTATCGGAATCAATGAAACTTCGTCGAGATTTTGCTTTCGTTGCGTTTCGCCGACTTATCCCCCGATAATTGAAAATCTCCTTGCACACAAACGTCGTTGCCTCGAATTCACGTTTTTCCCCCTCTCCGCCCACACGCCACGGTGTAATCGATATCGCGACGCTGAAGTGGTCTGTGCAACGATGCGTTTCCTCGTTAAAGAATTAACTTTGCGATAAAAGAAAATAATGGAAAACAGGGTTCCAGGGATTTAAAAATATTTTATTTCCTCTTTATATCCACGCCCTTGAATCACAGATTAAATCCTTTTAGCGCTACGAAACAGTCTTGACATTTTATTTCACTGTTCTACGGTGTATTTGTTAATAAATTCATGATTATGTTATTTTATAGTGGAGTCTGAATATTTCTCAAATTTTTGCCTCTTAATTGCTAGAGGTTTTCTTTATAATTTTGAACTAAAAAATATTGAAAATTGTTATTTATCACTGAAAAGATGTTAGGTAAATAATAAAATATATTTTCTGTGTGTTATATACTTATAACGTGACTTATGTAATATTTATCTGATAATATTAGTATTTCTTATCTAGTGTATTATTGACGAGGACAGTCAGGAGGATAATAAAAATGCAATGTTAAAATATTGATTAATCATTTCTTAAATTTTGTGAATATATTAGTAATATGATGAATCATGATATTAGTGGAATTAATTGATGATAAATCGAGTTCTAATATCGCGAACGTTTCGCTCTGCAAAGGATTGAACGAATAACTTGTACGACGATCGGGCACAAAGCAGATTGATTCGGGAAATTTCTGGTGAAGGATTTAATGAATACTGTAAATGGTAAAGTTCGAGTGACCGTCTCTTAAATGCCATTCGAAGGAGAGGACAGGAACAAAGAAATTATTGCTGGCCGACTGGATTCATTAGCGGTCTCTTGTTCTTTGTCAAACTCGGCGACAGTAGTCTGGCCGGCGGCTTGATAAATATTTAAAGCTTCCCTATAATTTTACTCCCTCCCTTTTTCCATCTTTCCGCGCCTTTGAGTCTCCTCGTGGATCCTTGAATTCGAATGCAATCCTGAGCAACGGGTTCCTCGCTCGAGGCACATCTCTAACGAACACCAAAATATTGCCACTCGCGGAATTAACTGCAACATCTTGTTATTACTGTACCTAGGATCTTGTGATTGTACTTTGTGGAATGATCTATAACTTGAGAGAATTCATGTTTTAAATTATCAAACACTGCCCTACGTTCGATAAACTCTGTCGAAGGGTATTATAATTTTCCAGCACTTCACTTAGTGGAAGTTGTTTGATAATCTCTGAAAAAATAATAATTGAAAGTTTAGAATTTAATTACGTGCCAATTGAATGATTTTTTCGTGATAAACGTGTAGAAACATCTGAAACGAATGAAATGAATGCATGGTGAAAACTTTGAATTTTATTTAATATGTGTAAACAGATATTCTTTGATTCATATTAGTTAAGGGATTGTTATTAGTAAGTATTAAAATTGATAATTAGCTGTGAAATGTGCAATTCCAAATAGTAGTTTCGATTCACTTTACGATCTGATTAGATGATCGTAAATCGAAATTAGGCTGCTATTTCAACATGATTACTCTCGCGGCTATTCTAAACTGTCATGCAGACAATACATATTGCTCTAGATACAAGACAGTTCCGGATTTAACAAAGGCTCAATAGTCGATAAAACGTAATCGACCATCCAGAGGATTTCCGGTTCGCGTTGGTGTAACCTTGTCCGGGGAGCGACATTAACCCAGATTCAGCGTTATGTGTCCCGCGACCCCTATGTCTGTGCAGACCGTACGAAATGTTCATGCGAGTACATTGTCCACCATAAGTATTAGAACACCCACGACAGCAGGTGCAAACAAGTACTAAAAATGAATTACATGTTCCTTAGTGAACCTTGTAATTCAATATTTCTTGAAAAGGAGGAAAGATAAAACGAAATTCACTGTAAAGCTTTTTTCTGTGTTTTTGTAGAAGGAAATTTTAAACATTTTTCCAATAAATCTTCATACATAACATTCAAAATAATTATTAATATATCTCGAATTATATATTTCATTTAGTCAGTATAAGAGCTTCTATATTGTTAAGAGTTACTATCTATCATCTAATAACTGTACCAGATATTTGACACATAGATATTTGAACTCTCTTTTAACAGCATTACTCTTCCAATATATAAAAACCAATTTCCAAGAATTCCAAACGCAACTAATATCTTCACAAAATTCATACTTCTCTCATACCACCAGAAAATCCTCAATAAGAAACAACAATTTTTATAACTCTTTTTCTAAGTAACGTGAAAACTTCAATTCAATTAATCCAATCTAACTCCAATTATTCCTTCCAGCAACCTGATACGTAACTGATTCTTATACATTCTTATACATCTCATCGTCAAACCAACACAAAAGTTTCCACTTCCATATGACAGCTCACTTTCAACTCCTGATGAAGCAGACATTCAGCTTGAACGTTATTCAAACTTCGTCTAAAAACCTTAAATAATTTCTAGACAATTCCTGAGCGTTTCTGTTCTCTCGATAATAGCGCCAGCATTTATAGCGCGGAGTGTACATGTAGCTTCACGTAATGGCCGCACGGCGAGCTGTTACGCGTCCTGTCCGGGGAATTAACGTTTGTTTTAATGGACGTACTTTTCGGCGGCCAAGTCGGCGTGTAACGGTGCTCGAGGTCCCGGCCACGGCAGATTCATTCTCTCCTGAGTGTGATGCGCGCGTCCCGTGTAACGTGTTAGGGCTTGATTCGCGCTACGAACGGCGCCGACGATAACGATTCGGCCGGACCGCGTGATTTGCAACTTGATTGCTCGATTCTGAAACGCCCGGGCCTCGATAGCGAACGAGACGCTCGATACGAACGCCGCTGACGGGTTTTCGATTTCCTTTCCGATGTAACGAGTTGCCGGGAAACGCGAAAAATAGTCGAAAAGAGAGGCAGGGAAACATGCATACACGAAGGAAGACAGGGAAAGAGGAAATTAGAGAGAAAGTTGGAACGTTGCATTGTGAATCGATGAAATGATACAAAAATATTATAGAGAAATATTTACTAGATATACTTTTGTGGTGTAATCTTGTACAGGATGTTTGTTAAGTTATTTTAATTAATTTGGTGAGTGTGTACGTAAAAATAAATTAGAAGTATGAAATATTTTAGTGTGATGTTTTATTGCTGAGATAATTAAATTTGATATTTTGTTGGTTGCAATCAATTATTAAAATGGATACGATTTTAACATGCCTGTTCGCGATGTATCATTTCTACTACTTGTGAAAACTTCATGTAAGATACAAAAGACTGTTATTTATAATTGTAAGTACTCTAGTGAACTGAGAAGTAAGCTATTTGAAATAATATTTCGATTCTATGTTTTCGGCGAAGGAATTTAGAAATGCGGCAAGGTTCGTTTTATTTGGAGTATTATCAATTTCAAATAATACATGATTTCAATATTTCTATATTCTAAAGGAAATAACCAAGAAGATAATACAGACGAAGAGTTTCACTTTAGAAAACTTTTCTGCTTTAAACAAAACATTTTCTTCAAAAATCAAGTCATTCATTCTGGAACCACATAGTATTATTTCAGGAAAAAACAGGTGTTCTCGTGAAGCTTGACACAACCGAAAGTAGATTAAACTTCAAAAAAATCCTTTTATGCTACAAAAATATTAATACATACATTCAATGGTACCAAGGAAATCTATCGCAATTTCAATCACGATAAATGAAACAACTTTTTCACATTCAAAACAAACGCAGTATCTCTCGTGAAAAA